TTCTCTCCCAGGCTACACCTATTGCTTCTATAAAACATGGTTCCTTGATTAATTAATGATACTGGCCATAGGAAGAAATGGACTTTTGAAGTCTATATTGCCTTCCCATTTGTCTCTAGGCAAAGCATTCCTATTGATCTATAAAGACCTCTCCTCTTGGAATCCTGCCTGACAGATCTGTTCTAATTTTATCATTGTGACAGCTGACATTTTCCATTTTAAAGCTCAATTTCTTTCCGATCTGTAGGTGAACTCATCCTCCAAGTCTCATTGGATTGAAATGGTTACAAATTACAGAGCTCGAAAGTTACTTTCTAAAATAGGTCCAAGCTGCATGTAGATGACTTTCATTATAGTTACACTTTAGCAAGTGAGTCTTGTCTTATTTATCTATTTGCTGCACTTATATCCTGCTCCTCTCGACCCAGAAGGGGACTTAGGGTGGCCTTGCAAAGGCAACAGTTAGATGCTGAATATACACGTATCATTGATAAATAAATATTCATTTGCCTCATTCTCAAGAGTAACTAAAATTGTTACCTTTTAAAAGGGAAGTATTTGAATGCTACAGTGTGGTTCAGATTTTTTTCCCTGTCTGTCTTGTTATATCTATGCTCTCATAACGATAATCAACAATTGACAATTATACTGAAATAGGACATATCATTCCTTGCTAAGTTGTAAGTGGGATTGTGTAGAAGTAACTCTGTAGCTCATGATGCAACTGGACACAAGCCAAAAGGACATCCAGCTGTTGATGTGCTCCAAGGTGAAAAGGAAGTCTGAAGCTGCACAACACATATTCTGGGGATGTGAAATGTGAGAAGCACAAATCAGAAGAAGGTAGGCATAGTAAAATGAGTATGGAGCACATGAACATTGAGCCAAAGTGTACAGAAATTGGGAGATAATTACATGGGGTTTATTCGGGAAATAAAAAACTAAGAAGAAATGGGGTGGCATTGATAATGAAGAGAAATGTTAAAAAACCAAGGCCTTTTCTTTTCGTGCCACCTTCTATCTTACCAAATATTAGGGGCTTTTTTCTAGTGACCCATGCTTTATCATAATGTAAGCAAAGTTTCAATTTAGTCATTTTGGTTTCTAGAGAGAGTTCTAGGGAAAATTACACTATATATATATCTTCTATCAAGGATAGCTGTGGGTGCAGTGGAATTGTGGGTTAAAGCAATAAAATCCTATGATTGAAAGACTGACAGCAGGAATTGTCAATTGAATGATTTGTGAGCTACCCTGCAAGCTTTTGGCTGAAGGACGGGATGTAAATACTCCCAACAATACCTAAAAACAAGAAACAGCAGTATATATTGTGGGCAGGGATGACTTATATTAATTATAGCTAATATATTTCCAATGCAGCTGGCTTCCTCAGCAAACATGCCTCTGTAAGTAGTGTTTAAGACAAGAAAGCTTTACTTAATAATTGCTATTTCAAAAGGAAAATAGATTTCATCATGTCTGTAAAAAAATTGCGGGTAAAGTTGGATGTATATAAAAGGGGAGATGTGATAGTCTGGCTGTGGCGAGATTCACAACCGCCAAGTGCTGATCAAACTTTTCCACACAAAAGCACAGCTTAATATACCTTGGTCCCACCCTGCCACATTCTTGATATTCCAGAAAAGGGTGTGGCCAGTTTTAATGCAGGCCAGTACGAATCGTGTTTCCTTCACTTAATAGTTGCCAAAGACCTCCGGGTTTTGCTTTTCAACACCCCAGTGATTGCTTTGTCTCTACCACAGTTGCTGTCACCTGGGTAGTGTTTTGGTGGTTGATCTTCCATCGTTGATGAGAATGATGCTGTTCTCAGCAAGCATTGGAAACATTGCATCCACTTAAGACATGGAATTGCCATGTAAACCAAATTTAGGCATATTGAACTACACTGGATTATGCCTTGTGTCAAACAACTCAGGCTACACAAAAATGGCCATTATCAACAAGCATCTTGGTGGAAGTTCAATTTACCCATTCATATTTGGAAGTTGTAAATACTATAATTTTATACCCAGAGGGTATGAAATCTATTATGCTAAGTGCCCAATGGGAGATGATGCCATTTGTGCAATGAGCACCTTAAAAATTGTAGCTGCAGAGTGGTGATCTAGATGGCGACTCTAGCATGCAAAATGCAGATAGGGGGTGGAGTTAATTCTGTGTGTATTGCTACAGTCCTGATCACACACACAAACCCTACATGTTTGCAATTAGTACTGACATTTCCTTCTATGATAGTAGTCAATGTCATGAAGGGAGGACAAGAGTTAAAGGCTTCTTTCCTCCCATATACAATCTATTCTCCCAATCCAGGTCAGCAGTGCATGCCTGCAAATTACTGTTTAATAGCCTTTTGCACAATTCATAATTGCATTGCTTGCATTACATCTTGTCTGGCCTTAAGACCATTGGACTTCTAGGAACATTGGAAAGTTGAGCAGAACTTGCCTTTTCAAGATTACAATTTCCAGAATCTCTGAACCAGTAAGGCCAATGAGGAGGACTGTATAGCCACTGCAGTTCCAAATTGTCAAGCCGGCCCTTTGAGCTGCTCCCAGTCAATATATTTTATATTGACTGGGAGAAGCTCTCTGGCAACTTAATCAGGGGTCTTTCCTAACAATACCTGAGATACCAGGGATCTGTTGCATGAAAAGTATGTGCTGTATCAGAAGTAAAACACCTCCTTCTTCTGTTCTGGTGGATACCTTCAAAATGAGTCTTGACAGTCACAACTGATCTGGAGAAGGATCTAAATCTGGATCTTTCTGCATGCAAAACATGTTTTCTACCATAGAACAGTGACTTCACCCATTTTTGATGCATCCACAATTTGATTTGACACAATTTATATAGGAATATGGAGTTTAAAGCTCTTTCCTGAAAGTGCATACCAATGGGATTTTTCGACAGTGGCTCGTCTGACTTTGGAGTGAGGAAGCATTTAGAAGATGGCTTCTCCAAAAAGTTAAACAATAGATAATGAGGATCTAATCTTATTTATTTATTTACGACATTTATATGCCACCCTTCTCACCCCAAAGGGGACTCAGAGCAGCTTACAAGTAAAAAGTAAATACAATAAATTATATTATTATCATAGCACAATATTAATATTGTATATTACATTGTACTATAACATTATTCTGTAATATTATTAGTAATATTACATTTAATATAAAATATATAATTATAATATCATATTTTATTATTAGATTACTATTAGATTAATTATTAGATTATTATTAGATTAATATCATATTAATCTTATTTAAATGTTGCTCATTTTGCCATTTCTTATTCCTCAAAGAAATCTGGGACAAAATAAGAAATATTCAGGTTTACAAGTACAGAGTTTTAATTGCCCCCTCCAGAATGACTGCGTTGTTTTCTGACCTCCTAGTGAGATCTTTACACACATTGTTCTTAAAGGATCATTGTCCCTGCAGTTCTGGTGATACGTATACTGGTTTACATGTTGAGCTTTGTTGTAATTGTCTGTTTTATCATGATGCCAGACAGGAATTAATTAGCCCCTTCTTTCTAGATCTCTCAGGAGACAAGCAAATTTTATGTCTCTTGTTGCTTATCTGGCAATTTCTTCTGTTACTTGTTACAGTTTCAAAGTCCTTTTCTGCAGCAATAAGGATAAGAGCTCAGTGACTGCAAGCCTAATTCATTATGTGGTTTCAGCTATTTTAACTTCTCTGTGTATGCCATTGTATACCTTGTTTTTCTGTTTGTTGGTTTTGGTGTTTGCTGACATGACTTGGGCTGGAATCATCAAGATGTGATTTTGATTGGACTTTGCTTCATTTGGAGATGCAAATCTACCTGATGAGTTAGCAGCTATGGCTGTAATTCACATATTATTTTAAGGTGAAACAGTCATGAAGCCTCTTAAACAGAGTTCATAGTCTAAATGTAAGCAGGTACCAACCTGACAGGTAGCTGAGCCACAAATGTTAAAAATCTCTGTTGTGCATCAAGTAGGCTGGCCAGGAGCTGGAATGGGCAGTGAGAGCAGCCTTGCCAGAACCTGAACAACAGGTTGCTCAGACTCGAGAGAAAGACAAAACGGAGTAGTCGACTGTGAGCCCTTGAATTTATGAGTTGATAGACACAACACTGCCCCCTGATCCTCAAGGATGAGAACACGGAAGTGCAATCAACTGCTCCTGAAAAAGAATTCAGAACCCGTGTGCCAGACTGGGTAACACACAAGTGAATAGATGGGTAGAATCTGACTTCAGGTTATGTTTATTTTCTTATGCTTTTTTTTTTTTTTTGCTAACTGGCAGAACATTTCCTTTGGAGGTCCAACTTTGGGGCATGTGAGAAACTTTCTTCCATGCAAAAACTGTGCTCCCGAGAGAAATTGCTCTTTTTCAGGAGCATCAGAGATGTACAACCAGAGAATTGCAACATTCTGCATATTGAGATGATTCCCCTAACACAAACTTTGCTTTAGGAAAGCACTGCTTTGATCAAAGCTGCATTATTAAAACCTTTCTCAAGGCACTCATTAAATTATTCACTGTATGAGCAGCAATAGTAGCATTCTCCCCCCTTGCTCTTAAAAAAAGAAGTTCTTGCCTTTCATAGGTTCTCTTTCTTGGCTGTACTTTTATGCAGTGATTGCAATGCTTGGAAAAGTTGATTTTCAATAACAACTCCCAGAATCTCGAGCCAGAACCTTCAACTAGGGTGCTGTAATGCAAAAATATTCACCCCCCAAAAAACTCTAATAACATTTGACGTCTTTCAGATATCTGACACATCCTGCCTTGCTTCCTCCCTACATTAGTAAGGGAGGCAAAAAACACATTATCTCAAAGTACCATTAAGATGGACAACTACTAACAACATCCCTTCAGTCATAGACGATGGTGATTCTGAAGAGTACGAAAGAAATGGCACTGCACTTTGTCTTTCCTCTATGCCGTCTACAGTTACATTTGCTCCTTTACAATTCTACAAACCTTTAGTCAGGAATCCTGCCCACAGCCCCTCCTTTCAGCTGCAGCCTTCTATGGGCAAGAGAATCCACCCTCTTTCCAGGGGATCCCACTCTCTCTGCTCTGTGTTTTCATCTCCCCCACGTTTATACTTGAAAGAGTGCCAAGCCTCTCTCTCTCTCTGGGACTATAAAAAGGAAGGCTTTGAGGAAGGATTTCCAGAGCTGCAGAAAAGCGCAACCGGGCAGTAGCAGCAGCAACAACAGCTGGGATTCTTCACCAGGAGCCAAACTGTAGCTCTCTCTCTAACCAGCCATGCTCCCCTCTACTCTCCACTTCTCTGGCTTTTTGCTGGCTTGTGTGCTGCTAAAAAGCTGCTGGGCTTTTAAAAACGATGCGACAGAGATCCTTTACTCGCATGTTGTCAAATCCATCCCTGCCAGTTCTGGTGGCAGTGGGGGCAGCAACAACAGTGCCTTGAATCAAGCCAGGAATGGAGGAAGGCATCCAGGATTTGATCGGAGCAGTAAGTATTCTGAGTTTTTGCCTTTTCCCACAGTTAACTACAGATGTATTGCATCTGTCTGTCACAAGGGATGTGTACCTGCCTTTAGAAGTTAACTTTGAGAAGTCTGCCTCCAAGAGAGCTCCCTGTCTACCTGGATTGCTCTCTTTTAAAAACAAATTATTTCTAAGTTCCAAACATTAGTTGAAAATTCAATTTGTAGTTTTCTTTTTTCCTCTTAGATGAGATTTTCCCTTGGATAGAGGAATGGTGAACAAAGACCAAAAGATAAATTATGGAAGCAGAAATGTCTACTGCCTCCCTTTCTTTTAACCCATGGTGAGCAATTTGGGATTACCTGCTTGCCTCCTTTACAGCTTGTTAGGTCTCGTTTCACATTTTATGCTTTTCAACAAAATCATTTTCAAGGCAACTTCACAAAGCTGACATATATCTCTAGCAGCTCAGTTTTGATTCAGTTCCAGCACAGTGTTTGTACTTCTTTACTAAGCACTTACCTGTTTAAACGTCTGTAGTTAGTGTAAACAAACAGGTTCATGAGCTATTTGAAATCTTTGCTCCAACATGCCTTTGAAAATGTCCCCTTCACCCTGTGCCTGGCATTTCTGTTTTGACTGGTGCTCAAAAGGAATTGATAAGGAATTGTTGGGGGGGACGTGACCTGGGGCAGCTCAGTGCCACTCTCCAACTCTAAAAGGTATGAAAGGCACATTGATTCAGTAGGACCACCTTTATATCTCAAACAAAAGATGTTGATAGTGATAGTCCCATCTTTCAATGACAAAAAGGCTTCCTCTGCATTGCTATTCAGCATATGCAGGAAGTATCTTTATTGAAGCAACCCAATGGGCATTCATTGTCAGCAAATTCTGGCCATAGCTAAAAAAAAGAAGAAAAGAAAAGAGAAACTAAACATGTGTACATGCAGCCATTCAAAAAGGCAAAACAATACAAAGGTAACCACTTCCTTCCCACATGCATTCCTGAGCCAGGTGCAGGATGCAAACAGATATCAGAATTATTCAAGCGAGTGGCAGCATGCAGAGGTCTGCTCATCTCAAACCAGTCTACACAGGGCGGTCACTGAAGCAGTCTTCACTTTAGGTAATACACATTTTTCTTACACTAAAAAGGGACCTCACAGCAGAAAATATTGGTGGATTGAGCCAAGACATGTTGGCATCACACTCAGACTCTGAACATTAAGGGACAATTCCTTGATGAATGCTTGCTAGTTCTAGAGGTATGGGATGGGTGCAAAAATCTAATACACATGGGTTGCCCGATCCAACTTCATTCTTTGAAAAAGACAAGTTAGCTTGCCCTGTGTTTCATAAATCCTTTGCACAAGTTTTCCCACCTAGATCTCAATTATGAGGCAATTGTGAAGATCTCTCTCTCTCTGTGTGTGTGTTTTGTGTGTGTGTGTGTGTGTGTGTGTGTGTATAACAATGTCTAAGAATCTGCTGGGTTTCCAAGTAGCAAATGCAAGCCAAAATTTTATCAGGAACATGGAGACTCCCATCATTAACTATAATTCAGATATTTGCATTGCTCTTAAGTAACAGAGCCTGGTAACCATGAAAACTTTTAAAAGGGGGGGGGGAGTATAAGAGGAAAAGATGGTATGTTGAAATGCCTGGTGTGTACTCATTTTAAAGGAGTAATTATTAAAATAAGGAATAGGGCTTATTCCAGTCAGGATATCTGCAGATGAATGCAGGCACAAACATGCCTGCATTTGCAGCTACTTCAGCAACTTGGTACAATGTCAGTTTTTAAAAAATGAAATAACATTGCCTCGGGTTTTGGACCATGACTTTTTTTTTGAGAAAGGGTACTTACTTGCTGCTGCTTAAAGAAAAATACATTTAACTAGTAATAGAATAGACAAATTTCCTAAAAATGAATTTATCTCTAGCATTGTGACATTGACTTATGGCTGATTTGAATATAGCACATTAATATTCCAGGCTCCCAAGCCAAGAGACATACATGTTCATGATAAACTAGTACTTAATATCTCAGAAGAAATCCATCCAGGATCAAAAGACAAGATATTTTTTAATGAAATGCAGTCAGATGAAAGCATTTCTGATACCATCAGAAGCCGAGGCAGCACCAATATGCAAATAATAGACTACTCATTCTAAAGCAGAGAAATTTGCTGTTATATAGTTTCCCTGGGAATAGTGCAGTATAAGGTATAGTCAATCAGATTAAGACCAAAGTTGCAAGTAGGAGGTGCAGTATATGGAGTAGATTCATGCAGGGCAATAGTTCCCAACCATTGGTCCTTTAGGTGTTTATGACTCCAACATCCAGAAGACTCATTCAACCTGGGTATCTGTCAGGAATTCTGGGACCAGAAGACCAAAACACCTGAAGAACAAAAAATTGGGAGCCATTCATCTAAAATAATTGGTAAATATTGACTGGCAGCAGTTGAACCATGAATTTAACTTGTGTGTGCTCCAATTCAGACCCAGGTTTTCTAAGACAGAGAAGGGGTTTGCTCTACTTTCCACCTTGCAAATGGTGTAAAATGAGCAGAATACTTCATGCCTGCTTGAATTGAAGTCTCACTCAAATGATTTCTCTCTCTCAAAAGCAAAAGATTACTGCACCCAGCATATATCATGTGGAAACAGCTAGGCATTGTGGATACCCAAAAAGACTGCATTGGCCAAGTCTGGAACTGAAGCCACTGCAGTTTCTTTGTATATCTTTTTGTCATTTATTAAATTGTGCATGTGAGCAGACCACACACAAGCAGTTATTTGTACAGGAAAGCGAACTGCAGCATTCCCCTCCAGCAGTAAGGGGGAGGAGCAATCAAACAAATAGGTGTTGACATAGATCTCCTGGCTCATACATTACCCACCATCTATACATCAGAATGCCACTCCTCGGCCACATTAAACACCCATATTCTGGCTTTGTAAGCTATTCTGATGCAAAGAACAGGTTTAAATTATTATAATTTGACCACTGATTTCTATGCTCTGTGTCTCTGACAGGTCGTGTTCAAGTTGGCTGTCGGGAACTGCGATCAACCAAATATATTTCAGATGGCCAATGTACCAGCATCAACCCTCTAAAAGAACTGGTCTGTGCTGGAGAGTGCCTCCCTTTACCAGTGCTGCCTAACTGGATTGGAGGAGGTTATGGGTCCAAGTACTGGAGCAGAAGAAGCTCCCAGGAGTGGAGATGTGTCAATGACAAAACACGCACACAAAGAATTCAGCTTCAGTGCCAGGATGGAAGTACAAGAACCTACAAGGTAACTGTGGTTACAGCTTGCAAGTGCAAGAGATACACCAGGCAACACAATGAATCCAGCCACAACTTTGAAGAAGCATCTCAGACAAAGCCAATCCACCATCATAAAGAGAGGAAAAGGAACAGCAAGTCCATGAAGCATCTTCCAAGTTAGAACTGGACAATAGCTTCTCTCTATTGAACATTTAATAGCCATCAGCTTTACAAACCTCACCAACTGATAGAAAGCCTCCCATATCATTGTTCCTTCTCAACTGTAGAAGAGCCTACATACATTTGTGGCTTTGACCAAATTCAGAAGGGCATTCTGTGCATAAAGACTTATGGGCATGAGCTATATGCCTCTATTTTTTTCTTACTGGACACAACAAACTGTTGCAATGAATGTTCAATGAATTTTGTATTGTAGAGAGCTGCTGCTGTGAGTTCTTATGAGCACACTTTCCTGATCAAGTATTTTATCAGGATCCCACATCTCATGCTCACATCTCATGTTTCTCCTCTGGTGAAATAAAAGCATTGTGCATGTTGATCTTTTCCTTTCATGCAAACATCTGTACTACAAAATTATGAAAAGAAAACAATACATGCATGACAGCAGCTGTAAAATAATTTTGAACAGAGCCTATTTATTTGTCCATGTAGTTATTTAATGAGCTTTTACGTGTTTTTTTAAAGATCCTTGTTTTATGTATGATCACCATTTTCTACACATCAAAATCTTTTTCTATGATTTGTGGTTCAAGCAGAAATAGACATCTTGTAGATAATGTAAACTAAGTATTTTAACCTTTGTAAGTTTCTCATTTTCAGCTCAGCTCATATTTTGTACATATGATGTAAAATACATTTGTATTTTTTAAAAAGTTGTTCATTGCAAAAGTAGACTTTACTTCATATTGATTTCATCCATTTTAATAAAAAAATCAACACTATAATTGTCTTTCTTTTTATTTGGTATAATGCTGGGAAAATGGACAAATGGTATGAGAAGGGTTGTAGCTTAGTGGTAGAGCACCTGATCTCCTTGTAAAAGGTTTCAGGCTCAGTTCTTCGCTACTGGTGAGAAAACTTTTGAATAATTATTCCTGGTTAATACAGAACAGAGCCCTCAGTGGCTCAGCGGGTTAAACTACTGAGCTGCTGAACTTGCTGACCAAAAGGTCAGTGGTCCAGATCCAGGGAGCAGGGTGAGCTCCCACTGTTAGTCCCAGCTTCTGCCAGCCTAGCAGTTAGAAAACATGCAAATGTGAGTTGATCAATAAATACCACTTTGATAGGAAAGTAATGCCGCTTCATGTAGTTATGCTGGCCACATGGCCTTGGAGGTGTCTACAGACAACACTGGCTATTCAGCTTAGAAATGGAGATGAGCACCCCCCCCTCCCCCCCAGAGTCAGACATGACTAGAATCAATGTCAAGGGGAAACCTTTATTATTACTAGTACAAACTAAGGTAGGAATCATGCAGGGGACTCAACACATACAGAAAGAAAAAGCAAAAGAAAAAAGTACAGTAATGATATTAGGATGGGGATTGGTTCTCATTTTAAACCAAATGAACAGCACCCTGCCGATTTTTAAAGCCCACCTACACAAAATTGCCCATTTGGGAAGCTATTTACAATCAATCAAATCAATTTATGCAAACCCCTCTCCATATGTTGGTGGGAAAATAGAACCTGAATCCCAGATCTTGTCCACCCCTAACATGGACACTGCTGTCCTAGATAAACCAATGGTCCAAACTGGTATAATATAATTTCTTGTGTTCCTTTTCTGATAGATGCTGTTCCAGCTTCCTCCTAAATAGAAAACTTACACATGAAGTGGTGATAGCATTTTGCATTAGCCATTGATGCCACTATTTTGATGCCTTTCTGTATACCACCACCATCTTAATTTATGGAGAGTGGCATTTTGGTGGCATAGTAAAAATGAACTGACTTGGCTAGTAAGTTGCCAACTGTGTAGCGTGACAACTGGTGTCCCATAACATTTGATCCCTCTATTACAAGAGCAGTTACAATCATCAAAGTGTTCCTCCTGATTTTTTCCTCTTGTCTTTTAAGAACAAGTCCATCCCTGTTCTATTTAAGCTTTCTTCCATTAGGTGTGGTCCACAGCCTTCTCTCTCTGCCAATGCTGAAGGAAGGGTCAGTGATCACCCAACTGGTTTGACATGTGAAACAGAGCAGAATAACCACTCAGTTTTTTAACTGCTGCTTGTTTTGGATCATCTACTCCTGTTTTTTGTTTTTTGTTTTGTCAGGAAAGTAAGGCAGCTTTGTTTGTTGTACATGTACCTGTTTGCATATGGAAGACGAATGGTCTGAGATTTGCCGATGCATGCACCTCTACTTTGCAAAAGGGACTGGGTGTGTGATTCTGTCTTCCCTTGTGGGCTCTATCCTTTGTATGCTCTATGGAGATGACTGATCAAAATTGCTAGACCATTAGTGCCTATCTGCCTGGCGTGTCCATTTTCATGCCTGAGGAACTCTTAGTCCAGTGCACTCATTTCTGCCTCTTCTTTCCAACTAATTCCTAAGAAGCTGTTTCTGTACTAAACCAAATGTCTTTTGTCAGTAATGGACTGGATAGGGGTGAAGAAATGCTAAACCCAGATAAGACAAAGACATTTGTAGTCTATAAAAAGATAAATCTAGAAATAGGGATTTTGACTCTGCTGAATGGGGTTATCTCAGGTCTGCAGCTTGGGTGGACTCCTAGACTCAGTCCTAAATCTTTATGATCAAGATTCCTCACCTTCATCAACCCCTGGAGATGCCAGATCTGGCTATAGTGATACATGCCTTGATTATATCCTGTTTTGACTACTGCTATATAGATGGTGCTGTCTTTCGCAACTGAAAACTTCACAAAATGCTGAAGCCAACATGTTGACTTGATTCAGCTACAAGGAACACATAACCCTTTTGTGCTGCTGGATACAACTTCATTTTGGGGCACAATTAAAGTGATGATTATGATCCATAGAGTCTTGTACCACTTAGTTCCTGATTTGTACTGGCATTGAATTTTGCCATTACTTATGTGTAAACCGATTTGAGTCCCCCTCTAGGTGAGAAAAACAGTATACAAATACTGTAAATAATAAATAAATAAATAAACTGGAAGACCCGTCTTAATATCTTCAGTAGAGAGAGTAATCTTAATCCGGCTATTGTCATTGTTATGAATGATGAAGACATAATGTTGATTCCAAGTTGTAGAATGCGCTTTTGTAGGAGGCCAGCATGGTCTTCTGCTCTCCTTTCACCAGGAGGAAAAACCTTTTAGTTAAAGAATGATATGGTGATTAACTGGATGTGCAAAAGAGTCTTTCTGTGGTGTGTGGGTGTTGTTGTTGTTGTTGTTCATTCATTCAGTCGTTTCCAACTCTTCGTGACCTCATGAACCAGCCCACTCCAGAGCTCCCTCTCGGCTGTCACCACCCCCAGCTCCTTCAGAGTCAAGCCAGTCCCTTCAAGGACACCATCCACCCACCTGACCCTTGGTTGGCCCCTCTTTCTTTTTTCCTTCCATTTTCCCCAGCATAATTGTCTTCTCTAAGCTTTCCTGTCTTCTCATGATATGGCCAAAGGACTTCATCTTCGCCTCTACTATCCTTCCCTCCAATGAGCAGTCGGGCTTTATTTCCTGAAGTAGGGAATGGTTGGATCTTCTCGCAGTCCAAGGCACTCTCAGAACTTTCCTCCAGCATCTATCTTCCTTCGCTCAGCCTTCCCTATGGTCCAGTGTGTGGGTATGTGCTGTATTTAATCCTTATTATATTTTAAAGGATTTTATATTTTTTTATTAATGGTATTTCAATATCATGGCTTGCCTTTTTACAGCTATTCTATTCTATTCTATTCTATTTATCATTAAGTTGTAAGCTTTGCTTTGCTTTAACCTTGTTGTAAGACACTTTGGGCTCCCTGTTGGGACAAATGTGTGATATAAAATAATTCAATACATCAAGTGCCAAGAATGGCTAGCAGGTCCCAGGTTTGTGTGGATGAGTTTGTAAAGAAGAGCCAGCATGGAACAGTGGTCTGATTGTTGGACTAAGACCTGGAGACCAGAGTCCAAATCCTTGCTCATCCATGGAAACCCACTGGATGAGCTGCACCCTCCTACCCTCAGAGGCAAATTGTCATTGAACAAGTCTTGCCAAGGAAACCACATGACAAAGTCACTTTAAGGTTGCCATAAGTTTGAAACAAGAACCACATGTTAAATACATTGTGTGCATCTTTATGTCTCTTCATGAGGATGGTGTGTAAAGGGTGGGGTATGTGCAAAGAGCAAGCATTATCTTGATTTTTTTCACCCTTTGACACATAGTATCTACTATGACTTCATCCTTAATCTCTGACTAAACTGATTTATTTTCCTGGAGGATCCACGTACATTTGGAGTTGTACACTATAGATGCATTCATTGTATCACCCACTGTAAGTGTTTATCTGCCTTCTAGTCACCTCTTGACTGATGGCAACCTTTGGAATTTTGGTAGGGTTTTCTTAGGTAAAGAATGCTCAAAGGTGGTTCTTCCAGTTACTACCTCTCAAATGGATAAAGGTTTTCCAAAGTTCTATTAATGTTTTATCTATTAATGTTATGCTAATTATTACAAATGCAACTTGACCATGCTGTTGTATGGCAGCTTGAATTATGTGCTTTGAATAACAATCCTGTTTGGCAGCAGTGAGAAGTTTTTATCTACATTATTTTGCTTTACCTGTGTGGGTCTAGAATAAAATGCACATAGGGTCAGGGAGTTTCTTTGTGTATTAACTGTTTTTGTTTTTAATGTTGATACAGTCAATGGATTAATCAATAAACTTTGCTTACATAAACTGTTAACCCAATAAACATAATCTGTTGGTTCCATTGTTCACCAAAAAAAGTGGGGAAACATTCAACTTTCTTTAGGACTTCAGTTACATCTTCCATATTCTTTCACCACTGCTCATGATGAGAGTTGAAATGCAACTCTATACTGACATATATTGCAGTTTCAGAATGAAGTTTGATTGCATTAAAATGGATTAGATGGATGGGTCTACAGTGCCATATAATGCAGTTCATTGCAGTTAAACTGCTTTCTGAAACTGTATTATATGGCAGTGTAGGTAGGGTCTGAAGGACCAAATATTTTTAACTCCTGCTTTATTTCAGTGATTATCTATTACTGATCTACCATTTCATGCCTCTTGGCCCCTTATCTTCTCCACAGTAGTGGCTGGTGAATTTCTGCTGAAATCTTTAAAGAAGGTGGACTTGAGCTGACAAAACAACCCCACCGGCTCATTGAAAAAGTGTGGCCGACTGAGAAAATCCCAGTAGATTTCAAGGATGCCACTATCATTACCCTTTTTAAAAAGGGAGAATGAATATACTGTGGAAACTATCAAGGTATCTCCTGTTTGACCTCTGCTGAGAAAATCCTTGCAAGGATCCTTGAAAACCACCTTCTATTTATTTCAGAAGACATCCTCTCAGAATGGCTTCTGCCCCTCCAGAGGAACAGTGGATATGATCTTCACTGCATGACAGCTCCAAGAAAAATGCAGGAAACAGAATCAACCTCTATTCATGGCATTCATTAGCCTTGCAAAGGCATTTGACATGGTGAATTGCACTGCTCTCTGTACCATCCTCCAAAAAATCAGATGCCATGACAAATTCGTGAATATCCTGTGACCCCTCCATGATGACATGATGGAACAGCCTTGGACAGCAATGGCTCTCAAAGTGACCCATTTGAAGTGGAATCAGATATCAAATAGGGATGTGTTGTTGCCCGAACCTCATTCTCCATCTTCATCACCATGATACTGCACCTTGTTGATGGGAAGCTTCCCGCCAGCATGGAAATCATCTATCAGACAGAAGGCCAGCTATTTAACCTTAGCAGACTGAAAGC